AAAATGATGGCGTGGGTGAGGTTATTGGAAGTGCCTATTGAAAGATTACTGAAAATGCAAAAAATGGTTACCAAACTACTGATTTTTATCCCTGCAGAAAAAAAAATCTTCCAAGCGTCAGGTGTTTCTTCTCATGATAGTATTAACTTGGAGTCTATACCCCCAGTTGAGCCATCGCCATTTAATAAGTTACCCAAATCTCTAAAAGCATGTTCCAATAGCAGCAGAATCAAGGTATATCAGAGCAAAGTCCATATCCAAAACAGCAAACTTAAAAGTAGGACAAAAAGCTGAAAATCTTCAAAACTAACTTAATCTCCTTACAAACTTGAACTTAAAAACCGTTTAAAACGGAATGATGTCAAGCTGAAACAAGATGTCATTAAAACAAAAAGAAAAAACCAGAGCAAACAGCTAAAAAAAAAAGGAAAAGAATATCTTTTAATGAAAAGGAAAAAACAGAAAAAATGAAACAACTTTTTAATGAAAACAGAAAAAAGAACAAACTGTAAAACACTTTGAAAAAAACAAAGGAGCAGAAACTACAAAGAGATGGTTTTCAAAAGAGAAGAGTGAATCTTCAACCATTTTTGAAGGTTTAAATGATGGTTTGGGCGATGAAAAAACAAGAGTAAATACAAGTAAATTGGTTGAATGTTTGTCCTGTCAACGAAAATTTTCAGATGAACAAAATGATGAATCATGGTTAATATGTCAAAGATGGACTCATTCTGTGTTCTGGCGTTGTTAACAATTGAATTCTGCTAACAAATAATTTTCTTAAAAAAACATAAATTATACTTTTTTGATTATTTCATTTAATTTTTCAATTGTGATGTGGAAAGTACATGCAATAAGTTATCTAATAATTTAATTCTTTATAAGCTTTTATAGATATGCACAACTGCTTCTGTCAAAATACAATGAACAATAAAGAAAAGCTGCACACCAAAAATGAAGACAATTGTAATCAGATTAAATGTATTCAATCTTAGCGGGAAGCATATCAAAACAACTAAATGAATTGCGGAATCTTTTTCTAGCATGAAAATGTTGTGTTTTATCAAGCTAATTTTACTGAATGATTTTTTATAATGATAAGTTAAAAATAATTGTATTAAAAGTTAAAGAGACTTGTGGTATTTAGCCAATTGAAATTGAAACTATTTGCAGACAAAGCCATATGATCACGCAGAGATGTCATAAGACTGATGCTAAATGCCTGAGCAAATAAAAACACTGAATTTTGGAATTTAATTTTTACTATTCTTTTTTGCATTCTTAAAGTAAATGAAATTTATAATTTGAAAAAAAGTGTTTAAATAGGGTGAATTTCGGTCTGGGCTGAAATAAAATTCATACAGACGCTATAATATTTTAAAAGTGTTCCTTAACTTCACCAATTGGTTAATTTCTGACATGCGCATAAGTGCTCCGTTTATTTAATGAAACTTTGGCGGTGTTTTTAAATAACAAACATTATTTTAAACAATTCAACAAACGAATGTCTTTAAATTAAATTTATGCTAAATAAAACAAATGCTTAAAGAAATGGATAGGAAAGATTGTTGATTATTCCCAAATATATATATATATATATATATATATATATATATATATATATATATATATATATATATATATATATATATATATATATATATATATATATATATATATATCCGCAAGCAAACACACTATATTTTAAAATTTAAATAATAGGCAATAAAAAAACTCAACAATTGTTACAGTATTTTAATCCTTAAACTAACAGTTCTGATACTATTACTGTTAATAATGCTGTTAGGGGCAATACTAATTATTTGTTTAGTAATACAGACTAATTTAATAAAAGTTATTATTCATAAAATAGCAATAAAAATAAGAGTTGGTAATAAGTTAAAATAGTTTCATAAAACATAACGGTAATGATTACTTGTACTAATAGTACAAGTGTACAACATGTACACTTATACTTAGTATTACATAGTATACATATTATATACCGACCCCATAGTACTACTATGGGATTGGTGCTCTAAAAATGGGACAATATCATAGGTCCACCTCCTTTTCTTGTTTATGGCTTACAATAAAAAAACTTTTTTTTGATTGCATTTAGGCAGGTTGTGCAATGTATAAAGTAGGTTTCTATTCTTTTTAATTGTAGTTTTTTTACATTATACTCTAAAAACTTGTCAATTGATCTCACTAATTATTTCAAATTTTGTAATAGTATGATATAGCATTAAAATATATATGGTTAAAACATGTATATATTAAATATGTTATCACATTACTAGATAGTGGTTTAAAATGTTATACTTATAATTGAAATAATTAGTTGGCAAGTGTTACAAATTCTAGAGTGGGACTACAGAGACAATAGAGAAACTTAAGAAAAGTAATTTAAGTATTGAAAAATTTTACTTTAATAATAATTTGTTTAAAAAAAATACAAATTTTTACGTAAACTAAAAACAACAAGTGTGGATTTCATAAAAGATTTCAGTAACTGTTACTTATATTATCACAATGAATTATGTTGTTTTATTTATAATAATAAAACTTAACGTCCTAAAATTTCTAGAAAAAGCATTACAACATTGCTTTTACTGTTAAACTAATTCAACATTCTATATTTTCTATATTTATTGTTTTATACAGAAACTGAAGAACATCTATCAAACGTCGAAACAACATTTGGATAAACCATTTATTTTTAGTCGGTTATCCATTTAGAATAAAATTTAGATTAATGATTAGAACAAACCTATTTTAATGTCTAAATTTGGTGTAATATATGAGGATTTTGTATATTATTATTATTATTATATTAGGTTATTTTATAAATCAATAATATATTTTTATTATATATTTTGTATTATATTATTATATATTATCATTGTATCATTATTTTTTTTGTTTATTATTATTACATTATGGCCCTATTACTGTTTTATCATCAAAAATTGGCCATTCATTTCTTAGTCTTGCATAAAGATGAAACACATTAAACTTTGAAATGTGCAATAAATTTAAAATGTATAGTTAAAAAATTAAATTGTAAATTTAATATTTAAACCATTCAAACAAAATCATCACAAATATTAAAAGTCTATTAAGCCAAATATATATATATATATATATATATATATATATATATATATATATATATATATATATATATATATATATATATATACATATACATATATGTATATATATATATATTTATATATATATAAATATATATATATATATAAATATATATATATATATATATATATATATATATAAATATATATATATATATATATATATATATATATATATATATGTATATATATATATATATATATATATATATATATATATATATATATATATATATATATATATATATATATATATATATATATATTAAGCCACAAACATATATATATTAAGCCATATATTATTACAAAATTGATATAATTTTGTTAAGTCAATATTGTAAGTGTTTAATAAACATGTAAGTTAAAACTTTTGTAATTATGCTTTAATTCTTTTAATATATACATTTATTAGGTGTTTACAATATTGACATATCTTAAGCCAAAATAATAAATGTCAGGGGCTATTCTAGAAAAAAATATGGGCAACGGTAACCCTTTGTCCTGGAGAAATTTAGCGGAAATATTGCTAAAGATTTTTAATTTGGGCAGCACCCAAATATGGTAGAGGCTATCGAAAATGATGTAGAGTAGTCCCTGAGTATTTAATCGATATTTAATTAATATATACATTAAAAAGTTTGAATTTCAGATTCAAAGCAACTGTTGATTTTGATCCCTAAAGGTTTTATTAATTTTTCAACTAATTTTGACTAAATATCAATCTATTCTAAACAACTATGTAATTACTGGGAATGTCTGGATTGATTTATTAAATTTTTCAAATTATTATTATTTGTTTGTACAGATATAAAAATTGTTAACTTTCTTCTAGACCACTAGACACTTTTACTAAATTTTCGTGTATACTTTGCATGTGGAGCAGTGCATCAAAAAGTCAATACTGGATATTAAAAGAATGACTCATTCACTACACTCTCAGAGTAGTCAGGCTAAACATTATATAAATCCAATGTTAGCAAGAAAAACATTTTTTTTTCATTACTCAATATCAAACTTGGATTTATATTACAGTTTTTAAAGCACTGAAAACTGATAGCATTTACTTTCAGTAAATAGTTGCAAGATCATTTGTCAATAGAGAAAGAAAAAAAGCATGAGATTTTAAAGAGGAACAAGTTTGCATAACAATAAAGAGTTTATTTAAATAATGGATAGTAATGAAAAAATAGCTTGATGGCTATTTATGAATGTTGCTAAAGTTTTATATGGAAACAACATTCCCTAAAACTATGCAGATTAAGTTATTAGATTTCGAAAAGCCATTTATTTGATAAATGGTCATCTTGGCTATTTTCTTTTAAATCCTGGAGAGTAAAGAACAGGGGAAAAAGTATTAAGACAATGGAGGGTTTATTACTTTAAATTCCATTCTCTACCTTTATAAATCTGTTATTTATCACAGAATCTGATATTTATCACATTATATTGTAACAGAATACTTTTTTCATGTTTGTTATATCAATACCTTATATTAAATCAATAAAAATTGAATGAAAAAGTTAAGAAAAATTAGCAAATTAATTATAATATAATCATATTTCCTTATTGCATTTATGGAAAACAAAATTTTAAAATATATAGTTATGTAAAGTGTATATATATGCATGTATATATATATATATATATATATATATATATATATATATATATATATATATATATATATATATATATATATATATAAAATATATATAAAATATATAATATATTAATAAAATATATATATATATATATAAATAAATAAAATGTATATATATATATATATATATATATATATATATATATATATATATATATATATATAATATTTTTAACAGAAAGAAAAAATGGCAAATAGTTATCCTCCTGTTCTTACTATTGCTGATTTGACACCGCCACTTTTTGATACAGATAGTGAAACTTCACTTAATTCAATTCGATCAAGAAAGACACCAACCTTTTATTCAACAATTTCAGATGTGGAAAAAGGTTCTGCTTCAAAAACTGTAGGTTTATGTTCACCTTTATTGTTAGTTTTATTAGTAGTTTTATATTTTAAATAATAATAATTTTCTATTATATACTAAATTTTTTTTTTTTTAATTGATTATCATTTTTGTAAATGTTTTATCATATATAATATAAATAATGTATAGTAATGTTAGTAAATAAATCTCAGTTAAGTTGTCTTGTTTTATATTTACTTGATTTTGTAGTCAAAATAAAAAGATAATCAGATTAACTGCTCTTTTTCAAGACCATAAAATTTTGTATAGTTTAGAAGGATATATCAGATATCATATAAACTCATATAAACTCATATCATCTCATATAAACTGGTTATAGCAGATGTGACTTCTGATGTGATGTAAATAAGACACTTTTTCAAACAAAGAATGAAAAAAAAAAAAAAAGGAAATTTTTTTGTTGCAACTGTAATAATTTCTTCCTTCATATGAAGATTTTCTGTGCCTAATCCCAAATCTTTAGATAAACATTTAAAAAATAAACTATAAAACTGTGAGCTAAAAAAATATTTTTTAGCTCACAGTTTTATAAACAATTTAAAGTATTCATTCAAACAGAAGTTATTAACCTTGTTCTTTATTTTAAATCATAATAAAAATTAATGTCTAAAACTAATTCTAAAAAACAAAGAATGGAGAATGCATTTATTTTTTAGAATTCTCTAAAACTAAATTAAGTGTTTTAGAGAATGCTTAATCATGTTTGTTTGTTTTTGTCTTATTTTCTCTTCATTCATCTCTTCACTTCTTGACATTGATATTTTTTTATTTTTTAAATTATATAAATAAAAATCTTAATGTAAAGAAGTAAAGAGATGAATGAAAAGAAAAAAAAGGAAGAATACCAAAAAATTGCCAAAAGATAAAAATGTAAAGCTGTTATAGAAAAAAAGATTAAAGAAAAGGATAAAAAGCTAAAAAAGGGAGAAAAGCATGTAAAAAAAAAGTTAATAAAGTTATTCGCTGCAACCAGCCATATAGTGTATGTTCTCCTCTATCTAGGGCTGTAAATGAAGTAAAACTAATGTTACGTAATAGCACCTCAAAGCAAAAAAAAGTTGTTCTAAAATTAACTGTTGAACTGCATTGCAACTTTTAAAATGTTCCATTGCATTAAAAAGAATTACTGCCTTAAATGTAGATTTTAAGAAAAATGAAAATGAATTTTTTTGAAAATAATGATGTTAGTCATGTCTCTAGGAATAAAAAGCCACAAATTTATATGAGTATAGAGGAGGTATGCTTTTTACAGCCCTTGCTTTATTACTTTTATCTATATCATGATAAAACCTATTTGTTATTTGTTTTAATGGTTAATAAATCATAAGTAAAGCAAGAGAGCGAAATCTACATTGATTGTCAAAGAGAAAGTTGTTAGGCTTAAGATAAGTTTTTAGAATATGGTTATTTATGGATTCAAAGACTTTCCTAATAGTAATAAAAATAATGATTATTAGATTAAATTAATAGTTTATTAATAGTGATTAGGGGTCAGAGAATTCTAAAGAGTTATTTGAACCAATTAAATTGGAACCACTTATGTTGTTTTCCAGTAAACAGGCAAAAAAGATTTAATCAAACAATTACTAAACAATTTAGAAAGTATTGAAGATAGTTCTAGAAAATACTTTTTGAGACTGTGACAGAAATGATGTGTGGGTAACAAACTGTTGATGAGTGAGAAATAACTCAAGTAACAGGTTCCAGGTGTAACTTAAATAACAGGTTCCAGGTGGCATAACTTGTGATATAACTTAAGGTGATATAACTTAAGTAACAGGTTCCAGAGAACATAACTTGTGATATAATTAAGGTGGTATAACTTAAGTAGCAGGTTCAAGGTGATTTTGTTGTCTAAAGTTAGGTTAACTTATTTCTCTGTGGTGATAGAAAGTGTATGGTCATTAGAAATGAGTTAGAGGAAAAGTTCTTTACAAGTAGTTCTACCTTATCTTTAGAAGAGGTAATAAGATCAAACCATAAAAGTATAATTAAATTGGAAGTTCAACTAACTAAATGTAATTTTGACCCAACTTTTTTTTCATCAAAAGTAACTGCTACTTTGAAATTATTATTATTTTCAACTCTGTTATGCTTTTATCTTTTTTAACAGAATAATATTTTAATTTAGCGACTATTTAATAACAGTAAGAAAGTTGAATAATATTTTAACCTTGTGACTGGTTAATAACAGTTAGAAAGTTGTTCATTATAAAGACTGACCTTTTTATTGTCAGTGTTTTGTTAAAACATCTTTTAGTTTAAATAATTTTTAATCATTGTTTAAATAATAAATAGATTTTAAACAGTTTTGGCTTCATAATTATTTATTAATTAAAATATAATTAATTTAATTAGGTTTAAAATATAAAATATTACAAATTTTTGTTTAAACTGCAGTGTATTTCTAAACAAAATATTTTTAATCTAATTAAAATAGTGACTTTGATGGCTAGGTAGTATTTTTATATGAAGATATAATAACCTTTTCTTAGCACAATTCACAAGGACTGATATCATATGTAAATAACATTGCAATAACGCTAAAAAATATTGTTATGTTATTATAAAAAAATATATGTTTATATATATATATATATATATATATATATATATATATATATATATATATATATATATATATATATATATATATATATATATATATATATATATATATATAAAACAATAATAAAATAGCATTCTATGACCCACTATGCAGGTCATAATATTTTTTAGTAAATGTGACTACACCAAAAACTACATTGATCAGTTGACTATGACTAAGAAAAATAAGATTAAAAAAAAAAAAGATAGGGGGCTATTTTTCTGAAAAAGTTCTTATTTGTGAAATTTTGACAATTAGTTTTTATTGCTTTTGAATCGATGATGACATTTCACTTACAATCATTTTGTTGTTTTTTTGTCTGGGACTGAAAGGGTTCACACATACTTGAAAGGGTTAACAGTTAAGTAATATCAAACTTTGCAATGTTATTATCTTTCATTATAACTTTTTTTTTTTACTTTTATTTATTAAAACAGTTAAAATTTAATTATATAATAAAATGTAATACTTTGATTATTTATTTATGAGCCTCAGAAATGAAGAAGTATTTATATGATCGAATAAAATTTGAGCAATTTTAAATTGAGTTTTCTTAAAAACCACTTATAAATATAACTACCACTTATAAATATAACTACCATATAACTAAGTATAATTCAATAACCAATATTATTTGAAGAAATTTACAGTATAAAGTATGGTTTTGGGGTTCTACAAATAATTTACAGAGTAAAATGGTTTTGGGATTCTTATATGAACATCCAATCTTTTGTTTAGTTTCTTACCCTTTATTTAGAGAGAAGTTCACTCTATTATTCAAAATACCAAAAACCAATTTACTCATGAAAAAGATAAAGAGCAAAATATACTTAGAAAACAGTTGTCTTCAAAAAATGAAGAAAATTTACTGTTACTCTTGCAAAATAAGAAGTTAATGAATGAATTGGAGAATGCTAGTTTTTGTATTCAGCAATGTCGATTAGAGGTATGTATATGCGTTTAGTTCAAAATTATCTATTTATTTTTATTTTAAATTTGAAATGTTTGAATTTTTTTATGACTATATATTTAAGAATTTTTCCTATTCAAAAAAGAATAAAGAAATAAATAAGTTTGAAGCAGTGTTCTAAATGAATTTTAAAAACTCAGCTTTTATAGTCAAACAAGGCCTAGAATCTTAACACTTGTAGGCTCAACTATATGCCCATGCTTATTTTTATTGAAGTCTGAAACTATATATGCTTATAATTGTTATAATTATGAAAATAAAATATTTCACTTATAACAACTTTTTTTTTTTTTTTTTTTTTTTTTTTGTTACTCACCTCCTCAAGGCCGAGAAGGCTACAGACGAGGAGGCTACTTAATAGTGTTTATAACCCTCTCTCAACTCTATAACTCCGAAACACGAACCTTTATGAACAAGGCCGCTGCGCGGAGAAACAAGTTGAGCGCAGTACTACCAGGGACGTGGTGGGGATAGAACTTCAAATGATAAACTATGTAGTTAGTCACTATCAATGCATCTAAAGCTTAAGAAACATAATTTGGCTTGAGTCATTGTTGTTCCAAATTTATATTTTATCTGCTTCAGCTAATGTATCAGACTATCATATTTTTCTTTTTTTATTTACATATTAGGCATTTCCAAAGTTTAGGGTAAACCCAACTTTTTGAAAATAAAACTTTTTGAAATACCTAATATGTCAAAACTACAGAAGAAAAAAAAATAAAAAAAATCTTAAAAAAAAGAAATTAAATGTACTAGAAAAGTTAATTTTTTTAAAGTGTTATTCTCAATATGAAAACTTGACCAAAAAATCAATTCAATAATAATATTTGATTAATGATGTAACATATAAAAAGTACATTAATTTAATATTTACTTAAAAATCCCCTGCCTTGGTTGAGTAAAGGCTAGATAGTGTCTTGATAGAAACACTCAATTTGGGCAGATGTTAAACACATTCGGCTACTGTCTTGTAGAAAGCCTTCTAGGCAAAAACTTAAAGAGTAAACAAATTCTATATGTTGATCAGCTTCGCACCCTTTCTTCATCTATTTGGCTGGCGTAAATGTATTTATAATACATTGTTTCCAGTTTAGGATGTTAATTGCTGGATCTTCTTGATTCATTGCATGGGTTTTGCTTGTGTCTCCTAATGAGGGTACAACTCTAAAGCTCAGTTTTATGATTCTGAAAGCAGCTGGTAGTCAGGTTTCCCGACCGTGGAAGCTTTCAGAGAGGCTGATTCCATCAATAGCTGTAAAATATCAGAGTAAAAACAATGCTAACAGTGGTATGTTGCGCATGGACGATATCCCTACTTGTACTTTTGGTGTGCATTGATAAGGCCACATTTGGAGCCATTTGTTATGGCTTAGGGTTTACTAATGAAAATGAGGCAATTGCTTTGACTATTAGATAGAGTACTGAGTGTTCTTTAACCAATTTAAAAAATGACTAAAATATCAAAAATTATATCCTTGGCCCTATACTTTTTTTAATTTACATTAATGATTTTCTTGATATTGTTGCATCTAAGATGGCATCCATATATCAAATCCATATATCAAATCCACTGCAAAATTAGTATCTGCTAAGGTTACATCTCTTCATCATGTTTGTCACTTTCTTACTCTAGATTTTACTCTTTATCTCTATAAATCCCAAATTTGTCCTTGTATGGAATACTGTTGCCATATTTCTAGCGGATCTTTGAATGACGCCTTTTCTCTCTCAAACAAGTTGGAAAAATACATTGTAAACAAAGTTAGACCTGCACTTGCAGTCAACATTCAACCATTGTCATATTGTTGTCATGTTGCTTCTCTCTCTTTTCTATAAATGCTATAATGTTCTATAAAGGACACTAACTCGTTTCTCCGCGCAGCGGCCTTGTTCGTCAAGGTTCGTGTTTCGGAGTTATAGAGTTGAGAGAGGGTTATAGCCACAAAATAAGTAGCCTCCTCGTCTGTAGTGGCCTTCTCGGCCTTGAGGAGGTGAAGTAAAATTTAAAAAAAAAAAAAAAGTATCTTTAGTATCTTTGGTGCCATCTACTAAAATTCATTCTAGTGTTACTTGTCATTTAATTAAGTCTATTCCTTTTACTGTGACTGTTCTTAAGTACTCCAAAAATTCTTATTTGTTTAGTTTTTTTTTTCGAACATCAGTTCTTTGGAATTTGATTCCTTCATCTTGTTTTCTTGATTCATATAATTTGTAATCTTTTAAGTTGTCAGTTTATTGTTATTTTTCTTTATAAACTTCATCTTTTCTTTTTAAGTAACTTCCAAGGTTGGTTGCTTTTCTACCTTGTTGGAAGTGAAGATGTTAATGAAGAAAAAAAATTCTTATAACAAAGTATATAACAATAATTTTACAAAATTATGCTCATAAAGAATAATGACATATTTTCTTTTTTTTTCAGATAAAAGAACAACAGAGCCTTAAAGATCAGGTATTTATTCAAGGAGAAGAACTTAACATAAAAAACTATGCTATTAAGTAAGACACATTTAGCTTAGTATAAATAATATACAATAAGGTGCAATTTATTCTAATATAAAATTATTTATAAAGAAAAATTTATAATTTTTTTTTTAATTAGCTTTTTTAGATATTTATATTTATACATTTTTTTTAAATTTTCTCTGATAACTGTGATTTTTTTATTTAAAAGGGAACTTGAAAAACTTATTACTGAATTACGTCAGCACACTTGTGAAATTGAAGATCAAAATGAGAATTTAAAAGAAGAACATGATCTTGTGAATCAAAATTTAAAATCACTGAAGAGACACTGTGAAAAGTTACTTTTAAATATTAAATTTTTAAACAAAAATAATTAAGTTATTCTAAAGTTCATTTTTAAACTTTGATCTTTCTTCTGAACCCCACAAGTAAGATAAAGTCTCGCACCACTTTCATACTAGAGTTTTTTTAAACACAAATATATATATATTTTTATGTCTTTTTTTTTTTTTTTTACATTAGCCTTGAAATGAAAGTGGATCAATTAAACAAAAAAAATAATGATCTGCTAATTACACATGAAAGCGACATAGCCATGGCAGGTTTATTTTTTTCTTCCTCTTTATGTTAGTTTTCTTATATAATTAGTTTTACTCTTGTTTTAAATGTTTTTGATATATTTGCAGATAAACAAGCTAACAAGCTATAATAAAGAAGTTGATGAAAAATGTGTTGCTATTTCAACTGAAAATAAAGATTTCTGGTTACTTTCTATTTTTTGAAATTTTCAATTTGATACTACTGCATATTTAGATACATGAGGTGTAATACATGTTTTTGTTGTCATGCCAACATATAAAGCATGTTTTTGTTATCACAATGACATATAGTACATGTTTTATTGTCATTATGACATATAATACATGTTTTTGTTTCATTATGACAATACATGTTTTTGTTTTCATTATGACATATAATACATGTTTTTGTTATTACGGTGATATTTTGTTTTTGTTGTCATGACAACAAGCAAAACTTTATGCATTGTTATAATGATGATATTAGGTTATTATTTATATTTTTTCAATTATTTATGATATTATGATTATTATAATATCATGTTGCATTATAATATTTATTGTTGCATTATAACATATATTGTTGCTCTTAAAAAAGAAGTTGCTGAGTTCTAAATAAAATTATTTTAAATTTTGATTATTTTAAAATCTTTTTTGAATAAATTTTTTTTCACAAATAGCATTTAACTTTTTTTTGCCGCTCATACTATTGATTAATGATTGAATTTAATAATTCATTAAATGCATGAAAAATTGCAAATAAAAAATCAAAACAATACTAATAATCATAGCACATGAGTTGAGGAGTAATATTTTAATTGGCTAAAAGGCAACTAGATATGAGACTCCTCAGCGTAGTTAAGGAGAGATCCGAAGAAAAATATAACGTTTAGGCCCTTTCGCTTTATTTTTTTTTTTTTACAAATATTCTGTGATTTTATTATCTACAAATTTGAAATTTTAGCTTAATACTATGGGGCAGAAGTTTTATAAAACTGAAATGTTTTTGTTTAGTAATTTATTCAAATGAATATAAAGAGATTATGGTAGTAAATTGGTATGAGTGAAAACTAATGTGAAAACTTTGATTTTAACCTTTTTACTGTTAAAATCAAACTGTTTTGGAATGTAAATACTTAACACATTTGTTTTAGTTGTTTTTATGATGCTGCCCCATCACATTTTATGTATTTTAGTGGTAGTTTTGTTTTGCTTGATCTTTTGGTTAAAAAAAGATTTATAAAAAAATAATAAATTATAAAATAAAAGATAAAAATTATATAAGAAAAAGCTTAAATTTTACTTTTTAAAAATATATAATAGTAATAGTCTAAATAAGCGGAAAACATAAAAAATTAAAGTTTAAAAATGTAAGTTTTTGTTTTTAAGAAATGCAAATCGTTTAGATCTCTCCTTAACTACGCTGAGTCCTCTAGTACTAGTTATGTTTATGAATATTTTAATTTTTTTTTTTTTTTTTAAGTTTTCCGAGGTAAAGAAGGTCATTTATTTTTGTATTTAGATGCATAAACTATAAACACAGCTTTGATTGGCTTTAATGACTTTCCAAATCAAGATTTTAGAGCAATTTTTTATAGTCTAAATTTTAAAAGCCTTTTACTCAATCAAATCTCAGTTGTCTCAGTTTTTATCTCAAACTGCCAATGCAGCTTTGACTATATTTTTTTTGCATGAACATGGTTCTTTAAATTTGATTTTTTGTGCAAACATTTTTTATTTGCGCAACAAATTTTGCATTATGGTGAATGGGTTTATTGACCTTTGTAGTAATCACCTTTGGTTATCTAGTTCAGGCTTTTTTTAAAAAACTTCAACAGTTTCATAATATTATTTTAATGTTCATGATGCAGCAATACGTTACATTTAAATGTGCAGTAATAACAGTTAACGTCACAGTTTTTGTTCATATAGAATTCTGAGCATTTTCTTAATAATATTTTTCTTTCTTTCTTATTTTTTTAGTTTTTCCATGACTATTACTCATATTCAATTAATATTCATTTTTATTCATATTCAAGCATATTATATGTTGTGTATCTAAAATAAACTTCAAACTTTTGATTGTGAGTCTATATGTATTACATTTTGTGTGTATCTAGTTATGCATAAAGTATTGTAAATATATATACATATATATATATATATATATATATATATATATATATATATATATATATATATATATATATATATATATATATATATATATATATATATATATATATATATATTTCTCAAATTAGAAATATATATTCATATATATTTCTAATTTGATTTTTTAGCAAAAAGCTTAAAGAAGCAGATTCATTACACCTGAGATTAAGAGATGAGATTAACAATCTAAATTCTAAATCAATTGAAGTCACAGCTTTAACAGATGAAATTTTGAATTTTAAATTCGAGATTAAAAAAAAAGATGAAAAAATATCTGAATATGAAGATGACATACGAAAACTGAAACTGCTTGTTTGTGAGAAAACAAAAAATTTGGTGTGAGATATACTTTTATTTGTATCCTAATATTTTTGTATACAAATTTTTCAAACAAAAATAAATTAAAATAAAGGATGGAAAGGGGGGAGAGGTTAATTTTCTTTTTATTTTCCTGCGGTTACAAAATTGTTTTGAGTTATTACATTTGAACTATTACAATGAATGAGTCACAGGTGTCTGCAGTTTATTTTTTATTTGGATAAATAATGACATGTCTATTATTTACATAAAGCTCACAATTTTCATAAACATTTTTATAAAGTACTAATATTTTGTGCTAAACAAAATAAATTGAGATTTTAAATATAGTGTGTGTAAAAAGTTAAATAAGACTTTTTATTTTTTTAAAAAGATAAAAAACCTTATTAAAATTGTATTTAAACTATTTGCATCGTATTTAAGTTGTATTTAAAATTTCAGTTTGTTTTGTTTAGCACAAAATATTAGCACTTTATGATTTTATAATTTTAAACCATAAAAATCTATTACATGAAATTAGCAGAAGAATAAAAGTTAGTCTACAAACATTAGGGAGGTTGAATTTTGATATTTTTTCATCGGTATGCCTTGTTATTTATAATTGGTATAAAAGGTATTTTTAAATTAATTTTTAAAAAATAATATTAAATAAACTGGTTCAAAACTCTCTGTAAACTTGTTATTGTGAGATGCCAAAGACTTTTGTGAGATGCTAAAGACTTTTGAAAAGTTAGGTGTTATTCAGTGGTTACTAATGGCAATTTAATAAACTCAAATAAAGTAAAAAGGCTAAGTTGGTATTATTACAAAACACACAAAGTTGGATCAACCTTTTGAAAATTTGGCTTTTATGGTGATGAAATATTTGAAGATGTTTGTAAAAAATAATTTAACTTTTTCAAGCGACTTTTTAAACACTTTTGTAATTAACGCTTAAAGGATAGTATATCTTTTTCTTAACAAATCCAGCTCATATAGTTATTCCTGTCACAATTATTTTTTTCAACTAGCCTGTTAGACATATATATGTTCAATTAACTCATGGTACTTAACTCATTAATGAACCAGTAATTAGTAAAATATCAAGCGATGTTTCAAACTTTGAATTCATAAAATGCTTAAGAACTTTATATGTTGAACACAAGTCATAAAGGATGATGTACTAAACATGAAATAATTTTTTTCAGACATTTTATTACTCTATTTTTTGAACCTATACTTACTGCTGCGGTGTCATATATGACAACAAAAAATTTATTGAGTTCCAAAATTACCTTATAATTCCAAAATTACCTTATAATATATTATAAATAAAGTCAGCATTGCTTTTCTCTAATACTTATAAAATTTCAAAGTTTCACTAAAGATTCAGACTTGCAAGTGCAACTGCATGTGCAATAATGTTACTTATCCGCATTAAAAAAAAAAGAAATGTAATCATCATATTTTTCTGATAACTTGATATAAAACCAAATCAAAGTTCTGCTAGTATTGTGCATGTCTTTTGGATGAACTGTTCAAATCAGCCAATCAATGTCTCACTAGAGTTGCAACCCCAAAAAAATTGGTGTGTTTTTTTTTAAAAAAACACGTTTTTTTTGCAAAAAAAACAGACTGGTTCTAAAAACATGTTTTTTATAGGTTTTTTTGCTTTTTTTTAGTATTCATTAAATTTTAGATAATAATAATACTTGAAACAGTTCCAGTGCCCTTAAACCTACAAAATGCAAATGTTTTCTATTTAATAAAATGCATATTAACTTATATAATAGCTGTTACAAACTAATCACCAATATTAAAAAAAAAACAGTGTTAAATATTTAAAAAAGTAATTTTTTAAATAAATCTCAAAAAAACTATACTATTAGCTACTAGTTGATTGTAAGTATAATACTACTGAATGAAGGAAATAAAAATGTTATTTTAGCAGTGTTATTTCATTCATAAAAATGAATGAAATAACACTGCATTGCAAAATACAAAAATGAACCAACTGTTAAATAAAATTTACTTTAATGTTTTATTTACTTTTGTATATTACTTTTTTAAATTTTTAATATTTAATTTCTTTATTTTATTTTAAATTGCAATTAGATAGCTAAAATTTTATTTATTCAAACAATATTCAAGTAAATAAAAATAACACAATGATTAACTTTGTCTAATGAAAAAACATTTATATTAAACAATTTGTAATCTATTAATTATTTTTAATTGAAAAAAAAAAAAGAAATCTAAAAAAAAATATGCCTGGCAATAGAAGACCTTAATGAACAAGAAAGCCAGAATACAGAATCTGTTATTAATTAAAAATAAATCTTTTAAATGATGTACTATATATTACCATATATCATGTTATTAATATATATTATATTACATTTATAATAAAAATAAAAATTAAATAAAAGTAAATAATTTTTTTTTAATCTAAAAAACAAAAAAACCATAAAAAACACAAAAAACACAAAAAAAACATGTTTTTTTTGCAAAAAAAACACAATTAAAAAAAAACGGTTTTTTTTGCAACTCTATGTCTCACCAACTGTGTTGAGTATAACTTCACCAATCTTGGTTGTTGACTCAATTAACAACTCATTATTTTTAACTATTTTAGCTACCATCTTACTGGTGTGAAACGTCAGTGGAGATTTCTTTAATTAAATTACTTAGTAATTTTAAGAAAAAATGTTTCTAATATGTGCTTTGTCTAAATTGTCTTTAAAAATCCATCAGTGACTTATCCATTAATTTCTCCTATATCTTGTGTTGTCTCCTGTGACTTCTTGGCTTGGAAATATTAGAAGATACAATTAATTTCTCTAATTAAATTATCTAAAATATATTTAAATTTAAAAATATAATAGATAGTTAATTAGTATGAGTTATTTAAGCAGTTATTTGAGTTTTTAAAAAAGTTTAAAAATCGATTTGTTATTTCTGGTATTTGTAACTTATTTCTACTATTTTGGGGTTTAAGTCATTACTCCACCAATAGTTATAAGGGTAATTTTGTGATAAGTGATTTGTTGAAAGAGGTACAATTTTGGATGGCGTGTAACTATTACTACTTTTAAATTGAATTTGAACTTGGTCTCCACTACGAAACCAGTTTCCACCACTTTTAGCAATATCAAAAATTGTTAACATATCATTATCAACATAATTCCATATGTCGATTTATGTCGCTAATGTATTTTATTTTACTTCAATTTTTAAAGTGCTGACTTACATCATCACAATTTATTAGACAAAAAGAAAAAAATAGTTCTTTTTTAGCAAAATCTTTTGCATCAATTTAATATCTTTTTAACCTGCTCATTTATATATTTATATATATATATATATATATATATATATATATATATATATATATATATATATATATATATATATATATATATATATATATATACACACACATGAGTTGAATAATGTAAGAAATTAAAATAAAAACAACTTTTTATGAAAATTAATGATATTTGTTAATAATGATAAAATATAATTGCTATGTAAAATATTGATTGTAGTAATTTTATTTTCTACTGAAATAGTTATTTAAAATTTATTTTAAAGTCATTATTTTAGAAAGATGGTAATGATCTTCTCCCGCAACAACTAACTAATGAAGATGTTAAAGATTTTAACAAGATACAAGCAATTAATGCTGACCTGCAGTTAAAGTTAGATATGAAAGATGCTGAAATTCAACGTTTGCAAACTGCAACCATGTCAAGCTCTTATGAAAAAATTGATTCCTGTATGTCTTGCATTGTTGTAACTGTCTATTTTTGTTTCTTAATTTTTAAATCCATTATATTTTAAGTCTAAACTTAATTTTGTTTAGTCAATTTAAAGGGAGAAAACAGTTTGTATGTGTTGCGTGCAGAATTGACTCCATTTATTGATAAAGTTCGATATAATGAAAAAGTTCGCTGTGAACTTGATCATAAAATAGCCCAGCAACATGAAGATATTGCTAAACAAGCGGCTCAAGTTATTGAATTGACTGGGAGATTAGGCGAGAAAGATATGCTAATTGACTCATTAGAAAATAAGTTAAATGAAAGAAACAACAATTTATTTCAATTGCAAAGGGAAAAAGAAAAACTATTACATCAGCAAATATCAAACAAAGAAACAGTACCTATTAATAACTTTTTTTTAATTTTTAATTTTATTTTTGTTATTCTCAATAGATAAAAAGGTATATAAATGTATTATCTCTTTCTCCTCACAAAAATATATTTAAAATACTATTGTGTTTTAAATATATTTATTTATATTTATTATATTTTCTTATCTGCAATATCGTTTTATCTTTAACTGACAAATAATAATCACCAGAATTTAATTACAGAAAAAATCTTTCTGAAAACTTTTTTTTGTAATACAAATTGACTGAACAAAGACACATTTACATAAACATTTGCCATCGGAACCTAACTAATGTGCAGTCATTTGTAATTTATGTAGTTCTATAATTTTGTTTTAATTGCATAATTATGAATTTAAAAATAATTAAGTTATCATTTTCATAATAGATACAGTCATTATCTTCATGTTTAAAATCTCATCAAGAAGATTATCGTACCACAGTTTCAGAGCTTGAAAAAAAAAATTATGAATTAGATATACTAGTCAAAAGTTACTCAGAAAAAATTACTCATTTGGAAAGTCTTCTTTTAGCTCATGATGAGGAAACCAAAGCAACAGACAGTTTAGTTACCAAGATAAAGTTACTGCATGAAAAGCATTGTAAAGAACTGGAACAACAAATTTTAGGTTTGCAAAATAAGCTTCAACAGGAAATCTTAAAAGTGGAAAGTCTTGAAAAGAAAATTAAATTGTATTTAAAAGATGGCAAGTCAAAAAGCAAAGATATACAACATCTACAAGAATATGTAGCAAAAATGGAACAGTTATTAAATGAGAAGAATAACCTAGTTGAACAATATAAAGAAAAACTGCAAGTATGTTATTGATTTTTTTTTTTTAATGTTTGATGTCATTATTATTATTACAAGTACAGCATTGACTTTCTTTTTTGATTGCATGGAGTCATAAATGTTATAGCAAGTATGATAAGGGGTCATGCATAAATTACGTCACGCAATTTTTTCTATTTTGGACCCTTCCCCCTTCCCCCTCCTTTCCTTCTCTAATTACAAATCATCACATTTTACTTCCCCCTCCCCTAAAATTATGGAACAAATTTTTATAATAATTGACTCATGATGCAGTCAAGTCAATTTTTAAACTCAATTCCAGTTTATGTTAAATTGGAATAGATACAGTTGAATGTACATTAACTGAGGGTTTATGTTTTATGCTAAGCGCTCTTTTAATAAATAAAAAAGATTTTCTAGATTTGAAACTTGAAAAAATGCAAAATAATGTTGTATCATAAAATTAAATACAGCCCCCCCCCCCCCATTCACTCTTTAACTAATCGTCACAAAGTTACTACCCTCCTCCCCTATTGCGTGGCATAATTTGTGGATGACCCCCAATGATTTTTGTTCTAAGTGTATGATGCCATCAATATTATAACAAGTACAATTACGATTTTCTTTTTTAAGTGTCATTAATATTATAACAAGTACAATAATGATATTTGTTTAAGTGTATGATGTCATCAATGTTATAACAAGCACAATAATGATATTTGTTTAAGTGTATGATGTCATCAATGTTATAACAAATACAATAATGATATTTGTTTAAGTGTATGGTGTCATCAATATTATAACAAGTACAATATTGATTTTCTTTTTTAAGTGTCATCAATGCTATAACAAGTACATAAGTGATTTTCTTTTTAAGTGTATACATACACTTTAAAAGAAAATCAATATTGATATCAATGTCAAACAATAGTTTTACAAGTGTTTTTTGTTCATCATAAAAACTTGATGCTTTTTTTTTCTATAATTTTATATTTTGAACTTAAAATTTTATCAAAAGTACATCAATACTAGTGCAAAACACTTCACTATGTTAAACATATCAACATGCATGTTAATATGTTTAACATGTAAAGAATAATTAATATTAAGTGACAATTATTTATTTACATTTATTTATTTTATTAGGTAAAAGTTACTTGTTTATAATTGTTTCTTTATACTCTCATTTGTTATAGAAACAATCAGATTCAGAGAAAGATCGTGCTTTATATTGTGAAACCATTATTACAAAATACAAATCTGATATTGAACAGAAATGTAAAGAGTATGAGTCCAAAGAACTTGAATATAAAAGTAAACTTTTGGTTGTTGAAAATGAACTTAAAGTTTCTAAAGATGCAATAAGACATTTTAATGGTGAAGTTGCAACCAAAAATAAACACATCGAAGAACTTAAAAAGTCATGTGAAGAAAATTTTAAAATGCTAAAAGAAAGTAATAAAAGAATTGCTGAACTAGAAGATGCTCATGAAGAAGAATATACTTCTCTTCGAGAATCATCATTGCATGATCAAATACAGCTAAAAGATGAATTAGCTAAGCTGAAGACAGAAAAGTTAGTATGTCAAAAGGAGTTGCAGTTATACAGAAATCAAATCCAAGAGTTGACTTCAACTCTAGGAGATGCTAAACTTCAATTTGTAACTTTAGGTAACGATTTAGATAAGAAAGATAGTAAAGTTTCTGAGCTGGAAGCTGCACTTGTTAAGAAAGAAAAGGAAATTGAAGAATCGAATAGCATAAATAAAATTCAAATAAAAGAGCTTAGTTTAAATAAAAAAAAGATTAAAGAGTTAGAAAAAGATATCAGCTGTAAAGATAAAACAATTAATGTACTACATGAAGAAAAGAATGATTTATTCAAAAAGGTTTGTGTTTATAAACTCTCTCTCTCTTTCTCTCTCTCTCTCTCTCTCTCTCTCTCTATATATATATATATATATATATATATATATATATATATATATATATATATATATATATATATATATATTACAAGAATTGTGTTATAATACAAAAAATTTTAAGAAGTGTATATTTTTTGAAACAACGTTTGATAAAAGCCTTCTAAAACTTTAGAAAGTTATTCAAAAAAAATTGAAGTTATCAACATTTATTACAATTCTTTTTTCAATGTATCATTTGTTGTAGTAATTGCTTGGATTAAAATATTTAATAGTTAATAATAATTGGTTTAATATATTTAATAGTTGATAAACATTTAATGATAGTTAAATCTTGTATTTATTTAAGAAAGAAAATGATTCAAAAGAAATATAGTAAACAAAAATTTTCACAATTTTCTTGTCATATTTGTCAAGTATTTGTTTTTTTGATTAAATTAGGTTTTCAACTTTCAGAAATATGTTCTTCAGAATATGTTCTTAAACCATTCTTTTGGATATGGTATTTTTCAAATTATTTGTAAAATATAGTTTGAAAATCTTTTTATAAACTGTTTTAAAAGTGATATTTTAACATTATTTTAAAATATTACAATATTAAAAGATAATGTATTTAAATTATTTAATTACATGGGTTAAATTGATTTATATTATCTACTCGGATCTGAAATCTTTTAAATGATTTTATTGATATCCAATAATCAGTAAATAATCATCTCTTAAATACTCTCTTTTACTGTGTACTTAAATACTCTCTTTTACTGTGTACTTAAATACTCTCTTTTACTGTGTACTTAAATACTCTCTCTTACTGTGTACTTAAATACTCTCTCTTACTGTGTACTTAAATACTTTCTCTTACTGTGTACTTAAATACTCTCTTTTTCTGTGTACTTAAATACTCTCTTTTACTGTGTACTTAAATACTCTCTCTTACTCTGTACTTAAATACTCTCTCTTACTGTGTACTTAAATACTCTCTCTTACTGTGTACTTAAATACTTTCTCTTACTGTGTACTTAAATACTCTCTTTTACTGTGTACTTAAATACTCTCTTTTACTGTGTATTTAAATACTCTCTTTTACTGTGTACTTAAATAGACATGATACTATAAAATATCACATTTTAAAATATGTATATACATTTTTAAAAGTGTCTTTATAGCAATAAATATGTAAGTATTTTTAAAAAAAAGTCAATTTTTTAAAATTTTTTAATGAGTTTATATAAAACACACACACATATACATGCAAACACACACACACACACACAGTGTGAGTAGAATGTGTAAGTGTAATTTTTTTTTTAATTATTATTTGTGCTACTTAGTTAGAAAAATTAGAAGAGAAGTGCAACAGAATTTCTTCAACTTGTTTCACTGCTGAAGAAAATTTTAAGGAAGCTAAAAAAGAGATTTTGTTGAAGCATGAAGCACTTTCTAGATGTGAAAGGTTTGTAAAAAACTGAAGGATATACAGATATGCACATTTTATGCAGAATCAATGTCAATGTGTCTATTTTAATTCAATCTATTTTAAAAATAATTTAAAGAAAAAAATATTTAAAAAATGTTATTCCTTGTAATCCTGATATTCATGTTTGATTTCATTTAATTTAGTGATCTCAATAAGTTCTTTAAAAATGAAATATAAAATAAAAATGACAGGACTTGTTGAAACAGTAGCGCAGCATCTCAAATATTAAAACAAACAAATTTTCCTTAAAGAGATTGTGTGAGAGTGTGTTTTGTTTATAATCTAAAAAGGAGATAGTCTAAGTAAGAAAAAAAATTTCTTGTTTTTAAAATGAATTTTTTCAAATATATATTTTTTTAATCTTAATGCTATCATATCTAAGGCTGTCAATTGGCACCCGGGTTTCTGCCCATTGGTTTCAGCCTGGGTAACATTTCCATTTTTGAAAAGTTTAAAATAAATTTCATTCATTTTTAAGTTTAAAATCATTATTTGTAATTAACAATTTAACAATATTAACTTGGTATATGAAAAAATCATTATTTGTAATTAACAATTTAACAATATTAACTTGGTATATGAAAAAATCATTATTTGTAATGAACAATATTAACTTGGTATATAAAAAAATCATTATTTGTAATTAACAATTTAACAATATTAACTTGGTATATGAAAAAATCATTATTTGTAATTAACAATTTAACAATATTAACTTGGTATATGAAAATCATTATTTGTAATTAACAATTTAACAATATCAACTTGGTATATGAAAATCATTATTTGTAATTAACAATTTAACAATATCAACTTGGTATATGAAAATCATTATTTGTTATTAACAATTTAACAATATTAACTTGGTATATGAAAATTATTATTTGTAATTAACAATTTAACAATATCAACTTGGTATATGAAAATCATTATTTGTAATTAACAATTTAACAATATCAACTTGGTATATGAAAATCATTATTTGTTATTAACAATTTAACAATATTAACTTGGTATATGAAAATTATTATTTGTAATTAACAATTTAACAATATCAACTTGGTATATGAAAATCATTATTTGTAATTAACAATTTAACAATATCAACTTGGTATATGAAAATCATTATTTGTAATTAACAATTTAACAATATCAACTTGGTATATGAAAATCATTATTTGTAATTAACAATTTAACAATATCAACTTGGTATATGAAAATCATTATTTGTAATTAACAATTTAACAATATCAACTTGGTATATGAAAATCATTATTTGTTATTAACAATTTAACAATATTAACTTGGTATATGAAAATTATTATTTGTAATTAACAATTTAACAATATCAACTTGGTATATGAAAATCATTATTTGTTATTAACAATTTAACAATATTAACTTGGTATATGAAAATTATTATTTGTAATTAACAATTTAACAATATCAACTTGGTATATGAAAATCATTATTTGTAATTAACAATTTAACAATATCAACTTGGTATATGAAAATCATTATTTGTAATTAACAATTTAACAATATCAACTTGGTATATGAAAATCATTATTTGTTATTAACAATTTAACAATATTAACTTGGTATATGAAAATCATTATTTGTAATTAACAATTTAACAATATCAATTTGGTATATGAAAATCATTATTTGTAATTAACAATTTAACAATATCAACTTGGTATATGAAAGAAGATCTTGAAGATCTTTTTAAGAATTTTAAATTTTACATTGTTCAAAAAAAAAACAATTTGAAAATTTTTTTTTTTTTCAAGTGCACGTAAGAATCTAAACAACTAAAGTGTTATAAGAATTTTGTTATAAGAAAGTTTCATTAATTTTAAAAGCTTTGCAAATATTTAAAATTTGATAAAGGTTGGTACTGTCCATTAAATAATTTTATCAATTTTAAATGGTTTTACAATAATTTCATATATAAAAAAAAACTTTGTAAATCTTTTATTTCAGAATGTTAGCAATCAGTCAAGATGGATTGACAATCAAGGAAAAAGAGCTCAATGATTATCACATGAGGGTCACTGAGCTCCAAGAAGTCCTAGATCAGCAACAATGGAGTTTAAAGGAAAAGGCTGCAATGGTATATTTTTAAACTGAGAGTATTTTTTTTTTTTTTTCATGTTTTATTTTTAAACAACTTTACTCGGTTAGAAAAACATGTTTTTTATTTGTACAGTTTACTCAGTTGGATATGAATATTAAACAGCAACAGAGTGAATGGCAAAGCAAAGTTGAACATCTCAAATTATATAATGCACAAATTGAAAAAGAACTAGAAGATAAAAACAATAAAGTACACTAATTCTATTTTTGAATTATATTTATATCAGTTTACTCAAAAAAGGAAAGTTTAAACGCAAAACTAAAAAATCTGTGAATATCAAAACAAAAATAAAAGATCATTCTAAAGAAAAAAATAAATAATTTTTGAATAAATTACAAAATTTTACCAAAACAATTTTTTCAGTTAAAGTTTTTTTTTTTTTGTTTTTTATTTCTTTTTTTTTTTTTTTTTATTGTTGATATATTGTAATTATTTTATTTTATTTTTTATTTTTATTTTGTTTTATACCTTTGTTTTTATTTTTATTTTGTTTTATACCTTTGTTTTTATTTTTATTTTGTTTTATACCTTTGTTTTTATTTTTATTAATTGTTTGTTGTAATAATCTATTTTTAGCTTAACGAACTTTCTATTGTTGGTTCAAATTTAAAAAGAGAACTTGACTCAAGTTCTAAAAGATGTCAAGAAATGGAAAGAATGCTCAAAATCCAAGAAGAGGCAAACTTGAATTCTAGTGCAGAATTGAAAATTATTAAAGAAGTATTTTTTTATTCTGTTTGTATTTGTTAAAACAATGTTGCTTAATACCATAAGTTTAGTGAGATGCAAGTGCTAAAAAATTTAGTGAGATGCAAGTGCTAAAAGTTTAGTGAGATGCAAGTGCTAAAAGTTTAGTGAGATGCAAGTGCTAAAGTTTTAGTGAGATGCAAGTGCTAAAAGTTTAGTGAGATGTTAAAATGAATCTTCTGATAAAAGTCAAAAAATTTCAGCCTAAGAATTTTTAATCTTTTCTTCAAATTTTTTTTTTTTCCTATCAAATTATGGAATATCAATTTTAAGTATGTTTTTCTTTAAGCTTCTAAAATTTTATTTAAATCCTTAAATATGACAGTTTACACCTTCTAAAACTAAAGTTTTAGAAGGTGTAAACTGTCATATTTAATTCAAACAAGTTTTACTTGCGAGTTAAACTAAAATTACAGCATGATGTTTTAAAAAAATTATGTTTATTATCTAGGAGTTAGAAAAATGTCAAGTTGAATTTAAAAAGAAGATGGAGTCAGAAATTCAGCTTGCTCTCGTGAAGCAAAATAATGAAATTAATCAGTTGGTAAGACAATAAAAATTTCTATCAAATTAAATGGTATTCATTGTAGACATTTATTACATTGTAGATTATCATTATAGATATGACTATACATTATCATATTACATACGTATCATGTTACATTATAGATATCATTGTAGACATGTATTATATTAACATTTATGTAGATCTTTGCATACTTCATGTAGACTTAATTAGCATAAAGTAAGTGTTAATTTATATATATATATATATATATATATGTATATATATATATATATATATATATATATATATATATATATATATATATATGTATATATATATATATATATATATATATATATATATATATATATATATATATATATATATATATATATATATATATGTATATATATATATATATATATATATATATATATATATATATATGTATATATATATATATATATATATATATATATATATATATATATGTATATATATATATATATATATATATATATATATATATATATATACATATATATATATATATATATATATATATATATATATATATATATATATATATATATATATATATATATGTATATATATATATATATATATTATATATATATATATATATATATATATATATATATATATATATATATATATATATATATTTTAAATTCCCAATCTTAAATAGCAAACCTATTGCTTTTATCAAATGGATATAGTTTTATGTTGGTGAAATTTTTTTTTAGTTCTAGTTTTTTTTTAGTTGCTAGCTTACCGTTGCTAGCTTTGCTTTGCTTTGCTAACTTACCGTTTGCTAGCTTAACGTTGATTTTTAGAAATATTACTATCTATTTTCACTCTTAAATATTTGGTTAATATTTTGCTGACAATCTGTATGAAAAATTCTGCTCTTTCCACATTCACATTTTTTTCTATATTTAAAGCACAGTTTTTTTCTCAGTTGATGTTTTTATATCGATAAATTATATTTTATTTTGTGTTGGAATAAATTGTGGAACAAGATTTTATAAGTTTTCCTATTCACGTGATATTGATTTATTCGAAAGATTCAATATTGGATTTTTTACAAGGTTAGTAGGTGGCATTGAAATGATATATTTTAATTAAATTTTTCAGATGTTTGTATTCAAGCCAATCATTCTCTTCACAAGTATCAGTTTTCTATACATCATAAGGATGCATTTACAACTGTACTTATAAAACTTATATATATATATATATATATATATATATATATATATATATATATATATATATATATATATATATATATATATATATATATATATATATATATATATATATATATATATATATATATATATATATATTATATATATATAGATATAGATATAGATATAGATATAGATATATATATAGATATAGATATAGATATATATATAGATATAGATATAGATATATATATAGATATAGATATAGATATATATAGATATAGATATAGATATATATACACACACACACACACACACACACACACATAAATCTACAATAAATGTTTTAAGGTTTTATATCTATAGATCTTTTGACTTTTAAAAAAATGTTTTTTAGCAATAACTGTTTGTTTTAAATAATATTTGTTTTTTGTTAAATTTTCAGTATATTTTTACAGCAACAAAAACTTCATAAAACAAGTTGTGAATGCCTGATAGCTCAAAAAGCTGCAACAGAGATTTCCCAAGAAGTAGAAAATCTACGCAATACTTTATCTTTAAAAGAGAAAGACTGCAGTCGATTAGCTAGAGAATTAGGTGCGTGTCAAATGAGAGAAGCTCAAGAAAGAGCCAAATTTAATCAAGAGCTTAATCAAGCTTCAAAATACCACCAATTAGAAATTAATCATCAAAACGAACAGGTTTATGAAATATTTATTACTTTTTGTTTTTTTTAATTAAATGTTTATAGTTTGATACAAATGATGGAAAATTAAAATTGCATGTGATGAATTAAACAGCTTGATTCACTTCGCGGTGATCTCGATCTTTATTCCACATCACATCAACACCAAGTTTTAAACTTGCAACTACAGTTGCAGCGTAAATCAGAGGAACATCATCTTTGTGAGAGAGATTTAGAACATTACAAAATTCGCACAAGTGAACTTGAGGATTGTTTAAAGGCTGGAGAAAATCAGTTAAAGGTGGAAAAGGGACGGTCCAGAGAGCTTAACGAGTGTCTTGTACTTAAAGATGCGGAGGTATGTAAGATTCTTACATATTTAAAATGTATTATTTTTAATAGGAATATAATTAAAACATACAACTGTGAGCATGAAAATAGCAGTACTAAAAAATTATTCGTACTTTCATTATTACTCTTCTTCTGTATAATATAGAAAAACAAATTTTTTATGTGTGTATTTACAATAATGAGATAAGTAAATTGAGCATACGAGAATTCAATTCATCCAAGAATACCGTTATTTTTAATAAAATTATTGTAATTGAGAGAATGCATTAAAATAGCAGTGGTTGTATTGGTTTTAAAGTTAGTTTATAAAATTTAAAGAAATTTTCGTAATTTTTACAGGAAAAGTAAGTATAACTTCAATTATAATATATACTTTATTTATCTGTGTATGCTCAATGGTAAAAACTTTTTCTAAACCTTTCAAAGTGGGCCGAGGACGTCATTGTACACCAACAGAACGCAACATTATTTTGAAGCATCATAGAGAGGGTAAATCTTACTCATATATACAAAATGTTATCAGATGTTCAGCAAAGATGATTTCAAATGCCTTAAATTATAAAGCAAAAGTTGAAAAACGAGGTGGAAACGTTAGACTACCGCACAAGAAGACCGAAGAATTGTAAGGTATGTTAAAAGTAAACTATTTTCATCGGCCAAGCAAGTCAAAGATGATCTTGATTTACATGTGAGTGACACAACTGTTCGTAGGCGCTTAAGAGAGAACAGTTTATATGCACACAGTCCACGAAAGGTTCCTTTGTTGACAAAAAAACATACCGCTAAACGTTTGCAGTTCGCAAAGCAACATCTGAATTGGCCCATAAAAAAGTGGCGCAACATATTATGGACCGATAAATCGAAAATCGTTCTTTATGGAGATACAGGTTCAAGACAATATGTAAGACGTCCAGCTAATACAGAATTTCAGAAAAAATATACCATTAAGTCTGTAAAACATGGTGGAGCCAAAGTCATGGTATGGGGCTGCTTCTCATATAATGGTGTCGGCCCTATTTATAAGATTAATGGTATCATGGACCAACATAAATATGTCAACATACTCAATAATACCATGCTGCTCTATGCTGTTGAAGACATGCCGCTAAAATGGGTCTTCCAACAAGATAACGACCCAAAACATACTAGTCATAAGGCAAAGGAGTGGTTTCAGGTCAATGGGGTTGAGGTTATGAAGTGGCCTGCTCAGTCACCCGACCTAAACCCCATTGAAAACTTATGGAGAGACGTTAAAAAAGCAGTTTCTGCTGCTAATCCAACTAATGCTCAGCAGTTATGGATAGCTATTCAACAAGCATGGTACGCAATACCCGAAGAAAAATGTCAACGCCTTGTTGACTCAATGTATCGGCGTTGCGAAGCCGTTATTCAAAACAAAGGTTTTGCAACAAAATACTAAAGGTAAATATATTATTATATTATACTTATTTTTAACTTTTTAATGTTAAAAAATTAACTTTTTTAATGTTTAATTCTAAAAAAAAAAAGTTTTTTTTCCATTTTCAGATACGACTGCTATTTCAATGACTGCAATCTTTTTTTAATATTATTGTTTTGTTTCTGGAATAAAATGTAAAACTACTATTGATGTGATTTTTTTTATTCTTTTAGATATAAGTGTCAAAATAAACATAATAAAATTTTTTTAGTAATTAGTAAAAAAAAAATTGCTCAATAATATTCAAAATATTCCAAGTACTGCTATTTTCATGCTTACAGTTGTATTTTATATTTATTAGGTATCTGATAAATAATTTACTACATTCGTTCTTGTTCTAGTTTTATGGAATTTTTTTAATTGCCTTAGATTGCAAGATTATCGGCTCGTGTTTCTGGCTTTGAACGTAATTTATTAATGCAGCAAAATAATTTTGACCAAGAGCCCAGGCCACTGGGCTCTGATGATAGTATGTCGTCTGAGAAATCCCAAGATATATTTTTACCTTTAAGTGCAGTTGATTCCACAATGTTCAAAAATCAGAAAGAATCGATCACTCAACGCATGCGTATTATTTCCCCTGTTCGGGAACTCACGTTTGATGGTTTAGATGAAACATCAGGAAGTTACTCAAATGATATTTTTTCTGATGCTAATTTGACGAGTGTGGGTGCGTTGTCAATTAGCTCATTTTCTACGTGAATCCATCTTTTTCTTTTTACTTTTATTTTTCCTAAGCATTCTTTGCTATGTAAATTTTCATTTTTCCGACATCCTTTTTTGCACGCTTTTGTTTATAGAAAAAAATAAAATGTTTTATAATAAATCAAAATTTTCCCTTTAGGAATACTATTTTCGTTCATGTATAAACTTAATAATTAAAAAAATATAATGAAAATAACGAATTTAATTTTTACTTAGTTTATTTAAATTGTTTATCGTTCTCTTGAAGTTTTATGATCTTATTTCCCAATGTTTATAAAGATTAACCGATCATAAAAATTTCTTGACTCAAAGAAAAAAAAACGCATTATTTACATATGAGATTAATTACGTATATAGTGAATGAGATTAATTACGTAATTTACTCGTTAATGAATCCAAATCTTACAAATTGTCTTTATATTTTAAGCGTTTTAAGAACTTCTATTAAAAATTTGAGCTTTTATATTTGTTTGTTTTTATAAGTGAAATCACCATTTTTAACACTATCAAGTTAATTAATAAGCGACCTTGTAACGAAGTAGGCGTGATCTTCCTAGTTAAATGCTTTTCTGCGGTGCTCTGTTTTAAAACCTTAAGTTTTAAGACCTCTGTTTTAAGACCTTAAGGACTTCTAGGAGCACCTTAACCACAACAACAAAAAAATTCACTAATAAAACGACATAACTATTAAGCTCACTTGTAATATTGTAACAGTTATTTCCTACTATTTTAAATTAAGTTTTAAAACCGCAAAAAGACAAAAAAATTTTAGCGGTAACTATATTTATGTTTACTGCAAGCGGCAATATAAATGTTAAAATAGTTTTATTTTGCTATCTTTTATCTTCAAATTAGGAAACTATATTTAGATGTAAAAATAGTTTCCTAATTTGTTTTTCCATGCAATTCAGCATGATGTCCATAGTCGTAGATAGATAGATATATATATATATATATATATATATATATATATATATATATATATATATATACATATACATATATGGGGCTGTCCATTATTTACGTCAACAAATTTTTTGAAATTTTTACCTCCCCTTTGTCAACACCTTGTCAAGTTTCTAGAGACCCCCTATAAAATTATGTCAATTTTTGATTACCCCCCCCCCCCCCTTCCTATACAAAGAAGTTACGCTCCAAATTTTTCGTTATTCAAGCAATGAAATTCAAAAAAAAAATAATTGTTGACATCAACTTTAATTGACCTCCCCCCTCCCCCTTGTCAACAATTGTCAAAAAAGTTCAGAACCCCCTCCCCCTATTTTGTTGACGTAATTAATGGAAAACCCCTACATATATACATATATATATATATATATATATATATATATATATATATATATATATATATATATATATATATATATATATATATATATATATATATATATATATATATGTATATATATATATATGTATATATATATATATATATATATATATATATATATATATATATATATATATATATGTATATATATATGTATATATATATATATATATATATATATATATATACATGTATATATATATATATATATATATATATATATATATATATTACAAAATTAAATTCAATATTAAAAGTATATACCGTTCATAAGACAAATTATTTACAAGTATTACAAATTAAAATAAAAATTAAAGTAAAAAAGTAAATAATAATAGACTACTGTACAAGTAATGTCAGTGCAAATTTTAACAAAATTCAAATAATGGTGTTTAAATATATCTCGCATAAACTTTAAATCAATATTGTATAAAAGTAAAATATAAATGGGTGATGACAAAACTGGGTATAATTAAAAGTATATAAATATATTTTCAATTGAGAAAATTACTTTTTTTAGTTTTCTTTTGAACATATAATAATTCCATTCATGAGAAAAATCAAAATTTTTAAAAATTATTTGGTTCCATAAAAAAGCTCCACGAAAAATTTACCAAAGTTTGTTTGGAATTTTGATTGTTTAATAAAATTATCATTTCTTAAAGAATATATATATATTTTTTAAAAGAATATAAATCAAAAAAGGAAGCTGGAGATGAGTTGGTTTTACATTTAAACATAAAACAAAGAATACTATAAACATTTACTTGATATATATTTAAAACATGCATGTTAAATAAGAGTTGCCTTGAGTGAATAAAACGATTTTTGAAATTTATAATACGTGCAATATGCTTCTGCTGACAATAAAGTGGCTTTAATTTACTTTTATGGATACTACCCCATGCAATATTAGCATAATTAATATGACAGTGTATAAAAAAGTAATATAGTATTATAGTTGTATTAAAGACTCGCAGAAGACCTTTAAGTCAAGAACCGCTCGTGAATATTAAGTACATTAAATTAAAATGAAATATAAAATTAAAAAAACAAATCAATGTTGTAGTAATAATTAGCGAGAACATAAATTTCGTAAGAAGATAAAAATGGATTCTAATTATCAAAACAATTTTGATTCGTTATCATTTAACTTTTTTCAATCTAACGACTTGGTGCTTGACACTAATTCAGATCCGGATTTAAACTATTTTTGTGATGTAGGAGCTTTGCGAAACAATTGTTCCTACTTCTATAAACAAGAAATAAAAGAATTTATTTCTCGGGATCATTTAAATGTTATTCATTTTAACATTAGAAGTCTTAAAATAAACTTTGAAAATTTGTGTACTATAATAGAGGAAACTTCAAATATATTTAGTATAATTTGCTTAAATGAAACGTGGTGTGAATTTGATGACGCTAAATCTAATTTAAATCTCCATCTTTCAGGTTTTAATATGATCCCACTAACGCGTAAAGCAAATAAACGCGGAGGTGGTGTACTTTTTTATATAAAAGAAAATTTGAGGTTTTTTATTAGGCCTGAAATAAGTATTTCTGATGACAATAAAGAAATTTTAACAATTGAACTTTTAACCAATAATTTTAAAAACATACTTATAAGCTGCTGTTATCGCCCACCATCTGGCCATATTGAAAGTTTTAATGCATTTTTGTGTAATGATATTTTAAAAAATAGTTTTAAGGAAAAGAAACTAAATTATCTAATTGGTGACGTAAATTTAAATTGTTTTGAATATCACGTTAATAGCAACATTAAAAAGTTTTACGATGACTTATTCGAACATGGATCAATTCCACTAATTAACAAACCTACTAGAGTAACCTCAACTTCAGCTACCTTAATTGACAACATTATAACAACTGATATCTTCAATGAAACTCTTAAAAAAGGTATAATAAAAAGTGACGTTTCCGACCACTTCCCTCTATTAATATTGACAATAAATTAATACAACAACATAAAAAAGTCATTATCAAACGCTTTTTCACCGATGCTAATCTTGCGTCGTTTAAGGATCAATTATCTTTAATAAATTGGAATCATATAAACAGTTCGTTTGAAGCTAATGAAGTATACGATACATTCTTTCAAACTTTCTATGAAATATATGATGTAAACTTTCCAAAACGTGAGTTTATTAAAACAAATAAAAGTTTAAAGTCACCATGGGTCAATAAAGATCTTAGGAAATCCTCAAAAATAAAACAAAAACTGTATATAAAGTACTTAAAAAAACCAACACTAGAAAATAAAATTATTTATAAAAATTATGCTAAAATGTTTGAAAGTCAAAGAAAAAATTTAAAAAAGATATTACTATGATTTACTAGAAAAATATAAACATAATTCAAAACGCACATGGCAAATTATAAGTCAAATTACTGGAAATAGTAAATTAAAATTATGCTCTATACCTAACACTATAAAAGTTGATGGTATATTTTTATATGAACCCAAACAAATTGCAAGAGAATTAAATAAATATTTCGTGTCTGTTGGCCCAAACTTGGCTAAAAATATTCCAAATATGATTAATCCAATAAATGATTACGTGTTTCCTTTAATCTCTAGTTTAAATAAATTTGAAGTATCTTCTTCAGAATTTGAAAGTGCTTTTAAAATGCTTAAAACTAATAAAGCAGTTGGTCCTGATGATATAAATTGTAATATAGTCATAGATTCATACGATACCATAAACATATTCTTTTTAAAGTTTTTAAATGTTCTATTAATCAAGGAATTTTCCCCGATCAATTGAAAATAGCCAAAATAACGCCTGTATTTAAAGGAGGTGAACCGTCTAATGTCAGTAATTAGCAACCAATATCTATCCTCTCTGTTTTTTCAAAAATTTTAGAAAGAATTCTGTTTAATCAAATATCTAATCATCTTGCTATTAATAATATACTTTACATAAACCAATATGGTTTTAAAAGAAATAACTCTACTGAACATGCAATAGTTCATCTTACTCGTAGTATAACTGATTCTTTCGAAAAGTCAGAGTTCACTTTAGGCGTCTTTATAGACTTATCTAAGGCTTTCGACACAATTGACCATGAAATACTGTTTAAAAAACTTGAACATTATGGTATCATCGGTAATGCTTTAAAACTACTAAAAAGCTATTTAAAACATCGCAAACAATTTGTCTATATCGACGGATCTTCTTCACAAGATTATTTAAATATAGATTATCTAAATATAACCTGTGGAGTTCCACAGGGATCTATACTAGGGCCCTTATTATTTCTAATTTATGTTAACGATCTCCATGAAGTCTCAAAATTAACAACTATAATGTTTGCTGATGATACAAACCTATTCCTATCAAATAATAACATCGACAAACTTTTTTATGATATGAACATTGAACTAATAAAAATATCTGACTGGTTTAAGTTAAATAAACTTTCACTCAACATTGATAAAACTAAATGGATTTTCTTTCATCCACGATATAAAAAACATTTACTTCCAAGTAATATGCCTCTTCTTCATATTGATAATATTCAAATAAAAAGAGTAGTTTTCACAAATTTTCTAGGTATCATTGTTGATGAAAATCTATCATGGAAGAATCACATCGGACATTTATGCAACAAAATTGCAAAAAGCATTGGAGTTTTATATAAAGCAAGAAGCGTTTTAAACAAACATTCACTAACTCAACTATATTACTCTTTCATACACTGTCATATTAATTATCCTAATATTGCATGGGGTAGTACCCATAAAAGTAAATTAAAGCCACTTTATTGTCAGCAGAAGCATATTGCACGTATTATAAATTTCAAAAATCGTTTTACTCACTCAAGGT